GGTTTGCAGAACTGACTCTCTTTTCCCGTGGCTGGGCAAGAATATTCTGTTAAGGTGTCCCCATTTTGAGGATAAAAACATTTCAGTCTATAGCTTTCTCTAAATACTTCCAAGTCACCAATTTACTGTGTTATCCTGTATAACAAAGGGATGATTTTACAAGTGGAATTCAAAGCAACTTTAAACTTCGGATTTTTAATAAGTGAAAAGCAGTAGCCACTGACAGGAAAAAAAAAAACAAGTCGGGAAAGTTTAGACTTGACAGATTTGAAACAGAGTAGGTGCACATGTACCTGTCGTGCTACTCTTACCTGTAATTTACGGTTGCTCTTGCAGCACACTCTAATAAAGTCAATGGTATTTTCAGTTGAATGTTGGGAACAAGTGGATTAGGCTGTTCAAAAGGATTTCCAAAGAGGTCCAAATTCTCAAGACAGAGTTTCCTAAAATCACTGGGCAAGAAAGGAAGTTTGTTTCGAGCTGCTGACAGAAAGCGTAGATGATGTAACTGGCCAATCTTGAATGGCAACCTAATCAACTCATTGTCGTCAAGCTTTAAATTAACAAGTTCTTGCAGCTGGCAAAACTGAATTGGAAGTGCTTTAATTTTGTTTTGGCTGAGGTCCAAGAACTGAAGAGATTTCTGCAGGGTGGAGTTGCACAGAGCCCCACTGAAGGACTCCAGGTGATTGTCGTGCAAATTAAGCTCCTGAAGACAGATGAGGTCACCAATAGTAGCTGGCAGCTGCTTAATATGATTATGACTTAGGTCTAGTTTTCGGAGTTTCTTCAAACAAAGCACACGCATGTCGATCCGAGCAAGTTTGCAGTACGAGGTTTGGAGATGTTCGAGGGAGTAAGGAAAGTTTTTGGTGAGAGGATAGTCCCTTCTCGAAGTTATGATCATTTTTGTCTTGGGTTTTTCAACTTCCGAGGTCTTTGCCGGTACCAAAGCTGAGAGCGGGAGAGCTCCTATGTCAGTCCCTTGGTGAGCCAGTCTCACAGCTGAAAGGAAATTCTTTAAATTGCTGGCATTTGCCTACAGGGAGACACAAATGTGGAATTAAAAGTTCATTATTCTTGTGCTCATTTGTACTAACACTTTCTGAACTATTTTGTACACGTACCAGGAGATACTAACTCAGCAGGGCAATGAAATGGAAAAGGGAAAAAACTCGGTGACATGCTGTTTACAGTATTTAAGAACAAATGGCATACAGTTTGAATGGTAAGTTACGACCTCTCTGAACAATCTAGATCAAACAAACTGTGCTGCATTACTCAGAAAAGGAACAAAGCATGGAATTCACAGCTGAAAATAAAGTACAGAAAAAAAGCCTGATGCACTGTGATCTTCCTAACCTGCAACCTGATAAAAGGACAGCTTATAAAAAACACACACAGGGAAATCCGAGATCTAAAACTTGAGGCAATCATTTCTGAAAGCTGCGAGGAAGGAAAAGGATGGAAGATGAGGTTAAATTTGACATAAAGGAGGGTACAAAGCTTCAAGGCAGGTTAAATAAGTGCTTCTGGTCACACACGCTGCTCTTTTTGGTTGTGCCAGCATCAAACAAGAGGATAATTATTTGCGGTCCTTCTGCAAAGAGCTGACCAATTCTGCTTTAGGTGGGCTATAATATAATGGCAGTAAGGACAGAGAGTCAAATTAATGGAATATCAGATGACCTATATTATAAATAAAGGTCCAGAAAGCTGCAATACATTTGTTGTACTGATATAATTAACTTTTATGAATAGGAGGGTGACCAAATATTTCTCTTCTAAATTTTCCAGCAAGTCTCCACTCAAGCTGAAGTGCAGCTGACAGACATTAAGCTATAAAGGAACTTCTAAAATAAAAAGCATGATGCATCCATACAAGTCAGAGTCATCTGTCATTGCAGGAAAGAACAAACTTGGAGTTTTGGCACGGCTCAGAGTCAAGAGGTTTACACTCTGTTCCCAGCTGTAACTTGCCCAAGCCTAGTGACACCCATTTCTGCACCTGAAAGACAATTTTGCTAATAAATGTATTTGTTTATATCAAGTTGTAGAGCATCCAGAACTAGCTTACAAAATATGCTATAAGCACCTAGGACAACAGAGCAACGATCCTGGAAACTTCTGGATGCTGATGTGATATAAAGATAATAAAGGTCAAACGTACTTGACTGCATTGCTAATCTAATGACTGGTCTTAATCATCCCATGCACATCTACTCTCTTAACTCCTGCTGTGATATCCTCCAGAGATGAGGAAAAACCTTTGTTATCCAAGACCACCAGTGTTCATTATCTCAGCCAATCTAACTAAAAGATTTAGCTGTGGGGCTCCTAACTACAGATTCGTCACATTTCCAAGGGTAATAAGTAGCTAACTAAATTTGGAAGTAAGGAGGCAAAGCCCTCCAGATCTGTAAAGACCAAGTAAAAAAATAACTGTACATTAGAATTGAGTTACAGGCAGTATTTCTTTGATCTCAAAGCACGAGACACAACAGATACCCATTTCTTGCAGCCAAAAGCTCTATCTAGGATGTTGAGAATAAGTTTACGTTGTTCACGTGACTTGAAAATAAGAGTACTTTGTATTCTGAATCCTTGAGACAGATTTCCTCCACAACACCTTCATAAAGGTAATGTAGTATCTGTAAACCCGTTGTTGAGAAACCTTGAATACATTGAGAAAAATACTAAGACACATCTAAGAAAATAAGCAAAGAGTTAGCAAAGAATTAGTTGGAAGTGCTCAGGATGCAATTTTCTGCCACAAGCCTGAAGTCTCAACCGCAGAAAAGATGTTGGGAAAAGAGGTTAATCTGCGTTGATGCCTTACAAGTCTCTTGTTTCAGAGCTAAATGAATGATGACAAGGCAATCGGAGATTACACGGATTTCAGACCTTGCGTGCAACGCAGCAGGCACAGGCTTGCTGAAGGAAAAAAAAAAACAACAAAACAAACCCACAGTGACTTTGTTATTTTTGCTCCAGGGTTGAATGCTCCAGACCCAATGTTTCTCAACTCAATTTCTGATGTGGCTAAATGCAGCAAATTGTACCGCCTAGCAGAGTACAAAGAGTGGGGTTTTGCATGGTAGCTGCACGCAATCGGTATAGTCATACCTGGAAATCTCTTTTCTACAAAGTGTCTGTCTGTCTTTGAGAGTTAAGAAGCCTTTCTGTAATGAAATTATGAAAGACTAGCAGAAACACTACAGAAAAGTTATCAATCATCTTAAACCGGGTTTCTGGATTTGGAGCATTTCAGAGGAATACATAGTATCACTGGCTTTGGAAGAATTTAGCAGATTTGGCCCTGCAGCTTGACAGTATGAGGGCAAGCCTTATGCTTAAAACAGGGAGCGAGGATCTAGCCTCCTTGGAGCAACTCTGGCCATTACTCTACCTCCTGTTTCGTTAGATTTGGTTGAGACTTTCTTTTCAGTCTAACAACATTGTGGAACTATCTTCTCATACAGAAAACAAGATATGTAGTTCTTAACTAAATTACTACCCACACTGAAAGAATGTCTGTTGCACAGTTTCCTTACAGGCTCTGTAAGCGGTCTAAATCAGATCTTGTAGCACTAAGACACAGACCTTTTGCTCTCTGATTTTATACTACTAGTAGGTCCCGTCACAACAGGCCTGCTTTTGTACCTTTGTTCCAAGATAAAACTTTCTGACTTTTCACGCTTCAGCAGAAATACTTGGAGTAAAGGATGTAGAACAATAAGTTATTCTGGATCTAACACAAGATACACAAGTTTTCTTTTTTGCAAGATACAGAGCACATTTGCTGCTGACAAGAAAAACGTCATTTAATTGGATTTGGACATACATTGATTCTTTTCCATTTAACCCTGTAAGGCAAACTGCTCCCTTCATCAAATTAAGCCTGCTTTCCTTACCACCATAGCCTTCACTCTTGCACAAACAAGGTATTTCCAGATCACCACAGTCCTGCGCCACATTCTGCAAGCTCTTGGGCTGCTACAACCGTATTCAGGTTTATATTCAGTTATTGGTTTTATTCACAGTAAGTGCTTTTTCTTTCTTGCTGTGTCATATTTGTTTTCTTTTCAGCAAGTCACTGTCCCGAGCACAGATTCATTCACCTTGTTTCTCAAGTAGACCTTGCAGCCTGCCCCGAGCTGCACTCCACTCGGGCAAAACTGTTCTCAGCGCCTGTTGCAGCTGCAGTTTAAACACACCCTCTGCGTTTCTCCTTAGGCCCTTTGAGAAAGCATTCTGCGTGCGAAGGAGTAAGCTTCACCACTCATGATTACAGCTGCTCGGACTGACATCACTGAAATTATTAAAGGATCTCCTTCAGGCCAAAGAATCACAGTTGCAACAGAAAGTTAAAGTGATTTCCCAAACAAACAAAAATAATCAATGCTATTTGCCTTTATTTACACATTCTAAATCTAAGGTTTTATCAAAGCTGTCTTGCTTTCCTCTTCTACAAGGCTACTAAAGATTAGTGGAATGGGCAGAGAAAAAACCCCAACATAAACACTGAATGGTGGTGTGTGATTTTTTGGGTGAATTTAGCATTATTAAATAGCTTCCAAATATCCTATGAATTGCACATGAATACATTGCTGAGTCCAATGCTAAGCGTTAAGGCGAGATGGTGCCTGTATCGCTGATCCATCCGTGCGTCTCCAGCTTGAAAACCACAGCGGGCACACTGCTTGTCCACTAAGACAAGCGTATTCTCCAGTTTTTTTCATTAGAAAGACTATAACCAATAACCGTTTCATAGAATTTACAGCCAAAGCGCAATATATTGCATCAGAGAGATGAAAAAAGCTGCTTCTCTCTAAACAAATGACGAAGAACACCATGAAAAATGGGCTTTTCCGCTCCTGCTGTTTCTGCGGAGGGAGCAGAAGGGACAAGCAGAACACAGCCCAGCAAAGAAGCTGGGGACCCCCCGGGGCCCGTCCAGCACGGTCGCGGAGCAGACCCCGGCCAGCCGCCTC